TATATAATTAAAAACTTTTGGCAGGGCCTCCCCGTGGCACAGTGGGTTGAGCACAGCACTGTGAAGCTGTCCACAGCCTCTGCAGCAAAGGTTCGATTCCCAGCGAGCCAGGAAGATTACCACATGGCGGGGCAGACCTCTCCTGCCTCGTGAACTTCGGTCCTTCTGCCTGTTCTGCTCCCGGCTCTGTCTCTGGTGAATTCTCTCACCATCCCGCGCCTCTGGCCTGTACCCCAGTGCTTGTATAAATAAATAAAATCTTTAAAAAAAATGAAAACTTTTGGCAAACTAGTAGTAAAACTTCCCTTAAAATGAAAAAAAAGTGTATTCACAAAGATCACCCTGGGAGGTAAACAGATGTTGAGTCTTTCTTTTAAGACTTAGAAGGGCTTAGCAGCTGTACAACCAGCACATCTACTCAACATCACACATGACATCCTAGCCGGCAGAAAAAGGCAAAGAAAAAAATGAAGGCATACATGTTAGGAAAAAAGAAACAAAACTGTCAATATTCTCAAATGATATGATTATATATGTAGAAAATACAGAAGACTCTACACAGATAAAGTGCTAGGATTCACTTTATAAGTCTGCTAGGTTCTGAATACAAGATCAATATAAAACACAACTATATTTCTATCGGTCAGCAAAAAAGAATTGGAAAATGAAATTTTAAAAAGGTACAATACAGCAGGTACAAAGGTATAATACATGCTTGAATAACATGGTTGCATTCAATGAAGTTTCCTAACATTGTTGATGAGGAAGAGATAATGGTGGACAACACTGAATTAAAACACGTTATTCCAGGATCTGTTCGTGTTATATACATTGTTTCACTTAAAGTCACAGTTTCCAAAAATCTATCAACAGCCATATTAAGTTAGATTTACTATATACCACAAAGTGAAGAAACAGGAAATACCTAGGAATAAACCTAATAAAAGAGGTGTAAGTTCTCCACACAGGAAACTATGAAACATCACTGATAGAAATTTTAAAATGTCCAAAAAAAAATTTAGAGGCACATACCATGTTCATGGACAATTATTACAAAGACATCCATTTTCCCTAAATTTATCTATGGACTAAATGCATTCTCAATTAAAATCACAACATTTTTAATGTCTTCATTACTATAGTTGTTCTGTTTTTGGTGGAACTTAAGAAACTGATTAAAAATGTTGTGTAAATGTAAATAAAAGGCAAAGAATAACCAAGAAGCTCTTCTAGAATGAAGAACACAGTCTGAATATAAATTCTTGTTATGAAATTATGGTGTGTTTATTAACAAACAAAAGGAATAAACTTGAGCGAGCCCCAAACAGACACACCCAGGTACCTGAATGACACACCAGTGCCACAGAATGGTGGGAACAGGTGGTCTCACCCATAAATCGAGCTGGATGCCCATAAAATATTTTTTAATAAAACTTATCTTACCTCATATAATATGCAAAAATGAATTCCCAGTGAATTATAAATATAAATTCTGGGTTGAAACAGGAATGTTTCTGTAGGCTAATATGAAGATCTTTATAACTTCAGAGTATGGAAGGACTTCTTGAATGGCACACAATAAACACTAACAATAAAGGAAGCAGAATCTATAAGGAGTTGGATATTGACATTAAGAACCTGTTCATCATGAAAAGAGTAAACAATCAACAAAAAGAAGATTTTACATCACATAAACCAGTAATGAGCTCACAGCCAGAACATACTAAAATGCCTACAAATCAATAAAAACAAACCATTTGGCAAGAGATTTGAACAACCATATCATAAAATAATTCAAATGGCCAATAGACATGAAAGGGTGTGCAACCTCATCAGGCAGAAAGGCAAATTAGCCCACAGTGCTATATCACCACCATCACCAGAATGGCTAACGTTACAAAGAGTGACAGAGCTGGTAAGGACACGGACCGGAGGAAAGGCCCATGTTGCTGGTGGGAGGTCACTGGTTGGCACAACTGTAGGTTTCCCTGCTATCCAAAAGCAGAGGGTCCCCAGGAAATCGTCCCTAAGCTGAAGTGATCTAATGCGAAGAAGCAATGAACTCAGCTGGAAACGTGTTTGCGTGTTCCCAGACCCAGCGAGGAACCTCCCACATCATTCTAGACACATAAAACTAAAAATAACACTAACATATTGCAAAAGCAGGAAAGCTGTGAGAAACACAGTCCATATAGTTACCAAAGCCCATCAGGATGGCTGTGCTTTCCTTTGGGGGAGGGGACAGTAGTGATGGGGAGATGGTCCTGGGGTGCACCCTGGGATGGACGTGTTCTATGTTGTATGTTGGCGTAGGCAGCAAAGTGATGAACCACCGCACTCTGTATGGCTGTTTCACACACTTCTGTATGCAGGTGAAGTCCCACTTCAATCTACCCGATGCACCTGCAGCGCAAGACTTCGTGGCCTCCACACCTGTGCACACTGTCTGGACTGGGGAGCAGCCCGGCTTAATTTAAAAACCACGGTGTGTGTCCTCACGGTGGCCCGTTAGCTTTTATAGCTCTCAGCACTGACATCTCTCCAGGCCCCACACAGAGCCTGCCTGGCCACTGCACGCGGAGCAAACTCCCCTCCCCTGCTGGAGGTTGCTGAGTAGAAGCCGGCGGCTGGCCCAGGTAATGCACAGGATGCAAAGGTCCTGAGACCCTCTGGAGCCCCCCACAATGGATACCCAAGCATGCTTCCCTCCTGTCCTCGGCGACAGGCCTGTTCTTCACTTCCCAGCCAAGTGCCCTTTCTCAGGGGTCTTTCTTTGTCCCCACCCGTCCTTCCCCAACCAGTCACTAGCATCTCCCTTTGCTATTAGTGCTGGCCATTCTCAGCTTGCCCCCACCTCCCAGGCCCACCCTGGGAGGCTGATCCCCAGGACCTGATCTCCATGGGGCTCCACTGTGGAGGGCAGTGGCAGAAGCTGGGAGGGGAAGAGAGGGTGAGCAAGCATGCCCTCCCCACTCACTCGCAGCTGCAGCCTGCATTTCTGAGACTGCTGCTTCCCTGGAGGACCACATCCCCACATCCTCCGGTGGCTCAGCTCACAGGGGCTCCGGTAAGATCATGTTGCTCCTTGGCCCAGGCCTGGGCTCAGCACTGCCCTCCTGCAGCGCCTTTCCCAGGCTCAGGAGCCCCTGCCTCTGCCTTTTAAAGTTGTCTTTTCACTAAACTCTCTTCCTTTGAACTACGTTGGCTTCCATCTTCTGCTGGAAGCCCACGGAGTGGCAATTTTATATTAAATTTATATAATGATTTTATCAGCACTGGTCTTCTCCCGCTTGGCTGTGAGCTCCATGACACCGACACATCAGAAGGTGCCAACACATGTTTGTTAAATGATTTAGTGAGTTAGTGAGCGCGTGGATGAACTCACATCAGAACTAGAATACACCAAGCCTGGTGCGAGAATCCCTGAAAGGTTCCTGTGACGGTGGACGTGGCACCAAGCTACCAGAGCAGACCTTATCACAGTTGAAAAGAACTTTTGTTGGCAGGAATATTTCTACTCAGGATAATTTTAATTATTCTAGCAATATGTGAATAAAACTATTATTTCCCCACTATAAAGACAGACTATGCATCTGACGTCAATGAAGAGAATGAAAGTGAACTCCAGTTACAGCTGAGTCAGGAGGGGCGCAAAAAAATATTAAGTAGAAAAAGAAGACTCTGATTCTGCGTTTTTTTATAACCTACAGTGAGTGATACTAGAAAAGAAATAGCAGTTACGTGGTGGAGGAGGGTGAACTCCAGGCAGAAAATGTCCTTTGTTAACACATGAAATGATGGTTGCTGCATCATGCTTCATACTTAAAGAGGGACAGTCCAGGCCGACCCCCACATGAGACAAGCGACTCCCTGTCAGTATAGATGCTCCCACAACATCTACAGAAAGAACTGGGAGATTCTGATTCTAAGCCACTGATCAGAATTTCCAGAACAGGGCCCGGAGTTCTGCAGATTTCCTTTCTCTTTTTTGCTACAAAAAATGTAGAAAAACCAGATTCCCTAAAGGCCTTCCAAGGCACCAGCTGGATCTTTCAAAAACCTTGTACCATGAGACGCTTGAATTGTAGTCCTGAGAAAACTATACTCTTGAGTGAGAATCACACTAAATATACACCAGATCAAGAATTTTTAGTTTACAGCTGGCTGTTCTGCAAGCAATAATTTACCTAGTGGGCCAGGTCGGGGATGGGATATAGCCTCAATCTACAGAGGTCAAGGTTGACCTCTCTCTGCAGTCTCTTTCTTGTGAAACCTCTGCTAGTTCTCCTCCTAACTTTTCCACTGTGGAAAGTATTCCCAGTTTTCTGGACATTCTAACCAGCAGGTCCAGCCTCTCTAGCATGGTGTGAGCTCCAGACTGTCGCCAGGCCTGTCAAGCGTTCTCAGATGGCACCACTGGGATCCGACTGGTCTTAAATCAGCAACAACAGACCCGCCTTTAGCTAAAGGGTTAGGAATGCCCGGTGGAGGGGCCGGGGAAGGAGAGAATGTGTTAAAATTGTTAAACTGCAGTTAGTTACACAGCCATTTCTTCCACAACACATCACCTGCCTTGCTGCACGTCTACTTAGATGCACCAAAAAAAAAAAAAAATGCATTGTTCATCATGCACTGGCGTGGGTCACACTAGCACAGGCAATGCCCACCCCACGTCAGCTCCTCGCTGCCCGCGTCCCTGGAAACAAAAGGGCATCTGAGACCTGGTCCTGCCATCACCAGAAGGAGAAGCAGAGAGCGAGCCACCGGCCACCGCTCCCGCCCATACATAAAGCGCGATGAAAAGGGGGTGCAGATGACCGCACCCGACTCCCGCGGGCTGGCGCTCCCCGGCCCCAGGCTCCCTCATCTCAGCCCCAACAGCGGCACCCGCTTCCCAGGCCCCGCGCGCGGCAGGGTCCGCAAAGAAGCCCGGCTCGGGCTTCGGGCGCGCTCGAGCCCCGGGGGAGCGGGCGGCGCCCCCATTCCGGCGGGGTGCTTACCGGCCAGCCCTCCGCCGCCGCCGTCGCCCGCGTGCCCCTTCCTGCGCTGCAGGATGAAGTAGGGGTTGGCCCTCTCGGTGATCCACAGCGCGTTGGCCAGCAGCACCTCTTCGGGGTTCACCCACATGGTCCCGGCCGCCGCGCGCCGCCGGCGGGGGGCGGCAGGTGGGGTCCGGCACCCGGGCGCGCCCGGCCCTAGGCTCGGCGGCGGCCGGCGCCCTCAGCAGCGGCGGCCCGCGGCGCCCGGGTCAGCGGCGAGGGCGCGGGCGCGGCGCGCACCATCCTCCCGGCGCCGCGCCCAGGCCCGCCGCTCCCCGCCCGGCCGGGCCCGCGCGCCGCGGGGAGCGCGGCTGCAGGAGGCGCGGAGCGGGGGCGCTCAGCCCCGGATCGCCCCCGAGCAGGCGGGGACGCGGCGGCGCCCCCGAGCGAGCAGCGCGCGCTCCGCGCCCTGGAGTCGCCGCGGCGCACCCGGCCCGGGAAGGACGCGCGGGTCACGGCGAGGGATGACGACAGCGCGGGTCCGCGCCCCCGGCTCTGCGCACCCGGCCCCGCCGCGCCGGCGGCCTCGGGCGGAACCAGCGGGGCACCCGGCGGCCGGCGCGCGGCCTCACCCCATCCCAGCCCCGGGCGCGGCGGGCGCGGCGGGGGCGTGTGCCGGGCGTGCGCTCCGGTCCCCGCCCCGCGGCCGGCGCCGCCCCGAGGGTCCAGCCTCCGGGCGCACGGCGGGTCGGAAGTGGACGCAGCCAATGGGCGGCGATGTTTTTGTTGCCTGCCTCCCTGGGGCGAGTCCTGCGCCAGACTTGTCACGCCCGCGACCCCTCCCCCGCGCCATTCCTTTGTAATTCCAGCGGCCGGGCTCGGGCATGACATCACCGCTCTGCGTGACCCGCCGGCACCCCCGGAGGAGCCGGAACCCGCCCCGGCGCTCGGACCCGGCGTCCACACCGCGGCTGTCCCTGGCAGAATTCGGGGTCTAGCCACACTTGCTAGATGGATGAAGGTTTTGAAAAATCAGTGAAACCTAAAGCTCGAACACCAGGCCCCTGCCTTATCCAGGGAGAGCCCTGCACACCCCCAACCCCGCCCCCAGTCTGGGTGATTGCTGTCCCGAGGTGATCACAGCCCCTCGGTCTGCACATCTCATCAGATCTTTCTACACCCAGCAAAGAGGCCCTTCTTCCCAGGTGATGGGGGTTTGTTTACCAGGCTCCGCTGTGGACACCCCGGGGGTGCTCCCTTTCCAGAGCAGCGGAGCGTTGGGTGACACTTGCTGTGAACATTGGCCCGCGCAGCTGACTTGTTCTCTTGGTTTCCTTCCCAGTGGGAATGGCAGGCCCTTTACTCCCTCACACTGACTGACCTTGGGCTCTTTAGAAGACATTTCAGGCCACCAGCTATTTGCCAGGACTTCACATATTTAACACCCGAGAATGACACCTGCCTCCTTGGGTCGCACTGCAGTGCCTTCAGCCAAAGAACCCATTACAAATAAAGCACAATAAGCACCAGGCGGTCATCTTATGTCCGTTACAATTGCTTTAATAATACATGTATATATTCTTGAAGTGCTTCTGTAGGTGTTATTTTACACAATTGGTATTTTTTCAGGGTAAGTATACCGGTTGTAGAGCAGCCCCGATACAAAACGGGGTGCCTGACTGTGGGTCCTCACCCGCGCGCTTAAAAGGACTTATCAATGCTCTACTGCAGGCACACGCGAAAGGTTCATAAAAGGTTTATTTACAAGGGCAGGGGAAACGAGGAAATGTACAACTCAGGGAGAAAAGTGGGAGACAAAGTTTAAATGAGTCCTACCCAATCCACCGATCAGGAATCCCAAAATGGCACCCTGAGAGCTGGCTGCGAGCCAGGAGCCGTGAAGCCAGGAGGCGAGCAACAGCGAGCCCCCCAAGGTCCACATGTTTGGTTTTTATATCCAACCTGGCTGCCCAACTCCACCCTCAGGTCCCAGCCACCCTCCCTTTGGTGGTGATGGGATTTGTCTTTCCCAATGTCCTGATGGCTTTAGTCTGGAGTGGGGGTGGGGTCCACAAAGCCTGTATGGGATTAGCTCAGGACATCCTTTCCCTCTAACATACCCAGAGCCTTCACGCTGTCTTTTGAGGACCCTTACTTACTGCTCAGAGTAGACCTGGCCACATCTGTCCTCCAGCCAGTGTGTGACTTTAGCTTAGCTTCTTTAATTTATTGGTGCCAAAATACTATTTACTTTTATCACTCTTTCAACGTGTAATTATAGAATTCCTACTGTGCTCTAGACTATGGGGAAAACAAGTCAACAAAACACACAAAAATCTCTGCCTGCTTGCTTGGGCTCGTGGGAAGCTCCAGTCAGGACTGAGAAGACCAGACACTGGAAGGGAACAGAAGGAGACAACACTTATTTAATAAACAAGAGAGTATTTTCAGAGCCCAGACCCCCACCTCCCAAGCGCCTCCCTCACACCCAAGTCTTACTAACCATTTTATCATCCAGCATTTGGTAAAAAAAAAAAAAAAAAAAATTCAGCTCTAGTGTCGGCAGAGAGAATTCACCTAACCAGTGAAAAAGAAGCCAACTCCTCCCAGAGTCCCCTAGCTGAAGGCAGCGTGTGTTAAAAATAGAAAAAACAGTTCCAAAATGGAGTTCTTCAGGCTGGGCCCCTACCCATACTTAATTATTACCTATTGTGCTTTCAACCTCTCCAGAAGGAAAGATATTAGCCAATCAATCTGGAGTGTCCTATCAGCTCCACTGAGGTCATCTGCATGATAAGATCCACTTGGCTTCTCCCGACGGAAGGAAGCTTTCCCTGATAATATTTTCTCTGGTCCCACCCTCTTTCTGTCAATAAATACAACTCCATTTTATGAAAATCGTTGCATTATCTGGACCTGATGCTGACCATTTCATAAATCCTTGAAGAAAGCCAATTAGATCTCTAAATTCGTGAGTTTTGTTTTAAACATGTGAACAATAATTTTTTTTTTTTTTTAAATGCACAGACCTTCTCTGCTCACCATCTAAGGGCAGGAGTTCTAGTAAGGTATGTGGGATTTCTGTGTCTGGTGAGGTAGAGGAGGCGGGGCGACCAGTTGGGACAGAAAAGCTTATTTGGTTTCAGAGATTCAAGCCTTGGCCGTAGCTTTGATATCTGCTGTGGAGACCTTCACGAGGATCTGAGTTACTAGCCCAACTGGAAAAACTAGATCAACCAGTTACCACAGTGTCGACCTGGCAAGTCATAAAGCTCCTTGATGATACAGAAGCCATGGTTTTGTCATATCAGCTTTAAGAGGCTGACCAGATCTGCAGCCAGGACCATTCTCATAGGTAGTTTACCCTTGACCAGAGGGACTTGAACTTGCAAACAACTGACATCAACATACAGTGTTGATGTATCTTCTCTTCCTTTTGATGTTCTCAATAACACTTTCTTTTCTCTTGCTTACTTGATTGTAAGAATATTATTAAAATATTGAATTATTAATATCACAATGTTAAGTATTTACTATTCAATTAATCAATTATTTACTATAGCATTACATTAAATTATTTGATTAAGTGATTTAATCATTTAATAACAATTACTAGATGACTTAATAATTATTTAATACATGTAACGTACAAGATGTGTTAACTGACTTTACATTATTTTAAGGCTTCTGATTAACAACAGACTATCACTAGTTAAGCTTTGGGAGAGTTAAAAGTTATATGTAGATTTTCAATTTGGGGTGAGGAGAAACACCCCTAACTGTGGCATTGTTTGAGGGTCAACTGCAGTGTGGTTTGAGCGAAAAAAAATCCTTCAAAATAGGTTTGATCTGTGATAGAACTACCTTGCTTCCACTCAGGGGCCACCCCCACTTTTTGAATTCTGTGATGTTCTGTAAATCAAAAATGAATAAAGCACTGTTTCTCTTACTGCTGGAGAACTGGCCAGATGACCCCATGCCCCACCGCCCCCCCAGAAGAAAGCATAAAGCAAGGTATGAGCAGAGATTCATTTTCTGATTCACTATCATGAAAAAGAGCAAGTGTTAGTGTCTGGAAAAGTGATAAGCTAAGGGTTTTAGACCACACGGAAGGGTGGGGCACACCTGGCCTTTTCCAGAATCCTCCACTGCAGCTCTGGGCCTGAGACTGGGAGAAGACCCTTGTTAAATCCCAGACTTGGCACCAGGTCTCTGTCAAGCCCAGAGGAGCTTCCTGAGTGCTGAATTTCTCAACTTAAAACAAATTTAGAGACTTGGGAAGGAAAGGGGCTTAAAGAGACTCTGACAGCGGTCATGCTGAGCCTCTCACCTTCTATACAAGGAGCCTGAAGCTCAGAAAGGGAAGGGGCTTTGTTCCAGATGCACCTGCGTAAACCGGGAGCAGCATCACAGTGCAGTGGGCAGCGCCCTGTTGCTGCCCCACTTGCATGCAAGACCCAGTACGCCCCAGGGGGCTTTCGGCTGGGGCGGCTGGGAAGAAGCAAGGTGGATCTGCAAAGGGAGGTGGAACAAAGGGGGAAGGGACTTAGAGGGGGACTCGTGGGAGGAGACACATGAAGGAAAGAAATGTAGAGACACTTGGAAGAGATACTTGAAGAGACACAAGGCGAGGGACACACAGGAAGCTGCCCTGCTCCGTGGCAGAGAGAAAGGCGGCCACTATGCTGACTTCATCGTGGATTACTATGTGGTGTATTTAGAATTTTGAGTCTCTCCTGTCCCATATCTTTGGGGCCTGCCTGATACCTTTCTTGTGATGTATGGCAAATTTTGGGGTCTCAGCAGTCCCTTTTGGGCCAAGTTTGTCTGGGCATTTGCTCCCGAGAGGGTAATTTTTGGAGTTTTCTAGGGAAAGCTCTATTGAAACACCTCCCTCCCTCTCTCCGCACACACCAATTCTATTAAATTCCACCTTCCACATTAAGAGTCTGCTTCCTTTGCCTTTGTGTGTGCAGGTGGCGGGCTGCTTCTCAGAGCACGCAGCCCCTCAGAGTTTGTGGGCCCTGGGTGCCCGACGGTTGCATGCTAACAAATTTGGCTTGGTTCACTTGGGTAATTAGGAGCAGAGATAGAACCTCGTCTTCCTAATTAGGAAACTATTATGACCCCAAATCTAAATTGCATCTTTTCCTTCTTCTCTGCATCTTATGTGTCACATCTTTCTGAGGAATGGAAATATGTACAATTATATCAATTGTGTGTCAATTGCTCTATCAATTATATAGCACCATGATCTGGGTGTTAGGAGCCACTCATTGGCTACACCTGAGCCAGCAGCCCGCCCCGGAGAGTGCTCACAGAGGACAGGGCCTGTCGGGGTGTGTGGTCCCCAAAGTAGACTCAGAGAGGTCTTATTGGAATAAGGTGACAGGGTTGTGGGCCAGATAGTCGATAGTGGACAATTTGTTTTCAATGTCTCTATCAGCTTGGTTGTAATACTTTGTATTACACACGTAGAAAACTTTTTCTCTCTCTTTTTTTTTAATGCTAACAAACCTAGTAGTCTGGTGAGAAGTCACTTAAGTTGCCTTTAAAAAAAAAAAAAGGAGGTTATTAAAAAGACTCAGACTAAACTAGGACAGGGAGCATGGGACCTCCTTGGCCCCTCCTGCTTCTCCATTTGCCTCTATACATTTGTTCTGGTGATTTCGCCACGCCTCTTCTCTCACCCAAACACAGGTAGATGCACAACAAAAGCCCCATTAACCACATCCACATGGCACACAGATGCCTCCCTGGCTCCATCTCTAAGGTTGCTTTCATGCTGTCGTTCTCACCACTAGTGAAATGCTTGTCTTGGGGTTTCTTAGCTGTAATGCATGAGGGAAACCCATCGGCTCACCTCATCTTGTTGCCCAGGCCACGACTGGTCAGCTCCCGAGTCTGGCAGTTGAGTATGCACATTTTATGCCACCAATACTTTATAGATTCCCACTAAACTTAATTTTTGGTATAAAATTAGTCATTTTGAGAGTTAACCCATTACATGGCCTTCAAGCACCCTCCATCCGGGAAATGTCTGAAGTCTCCCCTGGTTCACATAAGCGGATCAGCCACACCGATTAAGCGGACACACTGGTTCATGTGGGTACTGTTGTGAGACCCGAAGCCTATAAAATAACCTCCTCGATCCTTTTAGGGATCAAGTTTTCCCCCATCGTCATGTTCTTCTTTTGCTAGTTACTCACATGTCCAGTTTCTCTCATTTGAAACACAAAAGACCCATTAACCAGATTTTTTTTTTTAAGATTTATTTATTTATTTAAACAAGCACTGGGTACAGTCAGAAGCGCGGGAGGGCAAGAGAATTCACCAGAGCCAGAGCGGGGAGCAGAACAGGCAGACTGAAGAAATACACTGCTGAGGGGAGCAGCGGGCGGCAGGAGAGGTCTACGTGCCATGTGGGACCCTCCCTGGTGGCCGGGGATCAAACCGGTGCTGCAGAGGCTGCGGGCAGTTTCGCAGCCCCGCGCTCAACCGCTGCGCCACCAGGGGAGGCCCCCCATTAACCAGATTTTTAAAATCACCCCAAGTGCTAGTACCAAGCATGTCAAATTAAAAGTAGTGTTTGTCTGAGTTGTGCGTGGCCCTGTTAACTAATACATCCGTGTTTTCATTTTTAAATAGAATACAATCGCTTAAATCTGAAGATAAGAACTAGCATTTTTATCAACCTTTTTGGACTAAACAGTTTTATTCAAACACTTTTTTAATGATGGTTAGCTTAACACAGATTTTCTACTTTAAGACTTTAGGGGAAATTGCAGTTTCCTTTTTAACTATCTTATTTTTACATTGGCGATATTCTCATTAGAGAAATACTAATTTTATCTTGAATCTCAAATCTTTAAAAACATTTTATGGTGAATTTAGCTAAATGATATAAAAAAAATACCCAGGCATCAGTACTGACACAAAATAACAAGTGCTAATGTGTTCATTATTTAAATCCTTTCCCTCTTGCTGTCCAGCTCTTCAGAGCTCCCAAAGAAGACTACAGATTGTAAAAGAAAAAAACCACTTGAAGATCACAAGTCTTTGAGAAACACGTGGTACAAAACACTAAGTGAGAAAATGGACTTACTGTACCCACAGAGTTCAGGTCACCTCAACCCCAAGGGACAAAATTTTGAGTAATCAGGATTAAGAAAAGGCAAAACATTACTCTCTGTATTTGTCAGTCTTCTTTTGTCCCTGCCTCTCCATGCCCTCTCTTAGGCATGTGTCCCTGGGATTTCTCTTACAGGACATATCACCCAACAGTGACGTCTTTTATTTGCTCTATGAAGGCTAGAAGGAAATCGGCATTTTCATCATAAATGGTACTGGCGAGAATTTTCATCTTTTGTCACTTGTGATCTTCTTGGCTGTGAAATGCAATCTTCTACACAAAGGGATGTGGTAAATCACGATTTCTATTCCAGTGAAAATTACAGTTTGTTTTAATGGGAATGACTCAGTCACTCAAACTGGAAGCTTAAGACATTCTGTCCCAGAATGGGATTTTTTTAAAACAAAACTTCCCCTTTCTCTCCTTACACATAGAAAACCCTCACTCACCTGAGAACGTTGCGGTGGGAAGCACTTATTGAAAAGAAAACTAAATAGCTAGAGAAAACCTCCTTCTCCATTGCTCTGGTCCTCAGGTTGTAAGTCTCAATTAAGAAGCTTTTTGAAAGAAATGAGAAAATCTATCTTGACCGTGCAGGAGTTCTCAGAATTGCAGACAAAGGTAGCTGATTGGTGACTGAATGAGCAGTACAGGTGAGAGGTGACCTGGAGGAAATCAACTTTATGTACCGGCTTCTATAGCAGCAGTGAGACAACTAGAAGCTAATGCCAGATTATATAGTCTAGATTTTACTAGAACCTGGAGCAAGTAACCACCTGTAGTATAGGGTGTGTGTGTGTGTATGTGTGTGCGTGTGTGTGTGTGCGCGTGTATGCATGTGCATGAGGTCACACGAACTACTTTGCATATCTGAACATCTCTAATTAATATTCTTTCTGATATTTAATTTTAATCACATGAGTAAGTTGTATTGACTATAGAAAAATTAGAAAGCACAGATAAGCAAAGAGAAAAAAGTAAATTTACAAATGCGTAGAGTATCTTGAAATAAGTTCACAGGACACATGAACTTTTGTAACTTGCTTTACACATAACGGTGCTGTGAACACGTTCCAGATTTTTTAAAAAACGTACCTTTATACCATTACTTTATTGATCACATAGTATTTAATTATGTGGTGCACCTTCTTTTATTTAGTTCATTTGCCATGATTGTTTGCATCTTAAGAATATTCTTACCACACATCTCTGGTGAACATGTCTGACTGTATATTTGCACATCTGTCTAGTTGTTTTCTCTTAGTATAAATTTCTAAGAGGGGAATTTCTAGGTGATCTAGAACATATCTTTGTAGTGTTCTTGAGCCACCCTGGCAAATCTCTCCCTGTAAAGATGGGCTTGGACCCCGGACCCCGGAGCTTGGAGGTAACTGTTCCTCCACGCTCATCTAAAATGTTTGGGTGACAGTGTCTCTTGCTTGGGGTGGCATAAGAGAATGTGACTCTGCATTTTTAATACACTTAGAGCTCTCAACAGACCTAACCATACTTTCCCCCAAGATTAAAATAGTTTTGCTTTTCTGATTATAAAAATGTTTATCACACAAAGGGAGCGTGATAGACGAGCATTGGAGAGAAAGTAAGGCTTCTCAAAGTATCCCTGAAGATGTTCGGGAACATCTTTCTGAATATCAATTGGTGCCTGTTAACACACAGACTGAGGCGCATCACCGCCGTGAAGGGCAACGCTCCACAGAGAGGGCTGGGCCCGTGGCTAAGGCTCCTCCAGACGCACAGCTTTGGCCCTGTTCTCCAGGGGTTCCGCATGTTTCCGTGTGGAGAGTTAGCCTGAAGCGTGGAATTAGGGCCTCTTCCTCTCCGCCTCAGGGCTGCTCCGGGGAGGGGGGGGCCCATGGAGGCAGTAAATGTCTCACTACCAAACTCAGGGGAAGATATTTCAAATGATGCTTATTTCAAATATCCAATTAACAGTAAATAGAAAATATTAGCAGGAGGAGAATGCTCAGCGGCAGCACCAAGAGCCCAGGAGCCCCGGCTGCTGATGCCCAGGAGATGTGGGGTTGCAGGGGTGACGAATCCCCTGCGTTCTGTACTTTGAGCCCCCAAAGCAAGTCCTAAAACATCACACAAAAGTTGTAAGAATTTTCTAGGCTTATTTCTCACTTGTACAGGGCATCCCCTTTGGTAGGGAGAAAGAGTCCATCGAGAGCTGAGAAAAGTCTGGTCTTCCCAGGTTTCTTGGAGAACCACCCATTCTAGTCACGCTGCTCCTCCACGGGGGAACAGGAGAGCACGAGGCCAGGCTGTCCGCCTCACCTGAGCACACCCGCGCCATCCTCTGACCTAATCCGCACAGCTGCCATCAGTGTCGAGGACAGGACTTCTCAAGAAATGATCTCCTCTCCCCAGTGTTTGTTAAAGATCTGAGCACATCCCTGAGAGTGTGGTAGTGAGATCCAACCTTTATCTGACTCCCTTTCTTTTCTAGTCCAACGTCGAAGCTATGAAGACCTTGATAAGTTGAGGTAAAGAAATTCCTGTGGCGGCAGGTGGAAAAGGAGGAGGATCTGGGCAGGTGTCATCACGGGGCTGCCTGTCTCTCTGCAGATCAGATGATTACCGTGACCCAGCAGCCAGGGGTTCCTCCCTAGGTCAGGTGCAGGCTGGGGTTAGCCACAAGTGTTTGGACACACAGAGGCTGTTGAGGAAAGACCTTAGGTAATGACATCATGGGGAGGGGTGGCCGTGTCACTGAGCAAATGCCTCCTGCTGGTCCTGGGAATTGGAAGAGTTCCTGCAAGATAAACATACATTATCCAAAAATGCAAATACCTTTGACTCAGAATCTCGTGTCTTAGGAACTGATCTTACACACAGACTTGGATGTGTGCAGAGGTGAATGCGTGTCTGCTTTCTTGTGTTTTATGTCAAAAAAAGCAGGAATGTGGATAAGCATAAAGACCAAATGGCCTGAATGTTCTTCTGCCAGAAGAGATGATATGAATTGTGCTAAATTCTTAGAAATGATTAAAGTCACAACTTTGAAAATACGAGGCCCTTCTACATGTCTCTTCACTATGAAATGAGCTTATAAGAAATTTTGATAAATTAAAATATGCAAGATTTGAGGCACTATAGAGTGCTGCTGTTGGTTAAAAAGGGGGTTCATCAGGCCTCCCTGGTGGCGCAGTGGGTTGAACGCAGCACTGTGAAGCTGTCCACAGCCTCTGCAGTACAGGTTCGATTCCAGGCCAGCCAGGGAGATACCCACATGGCGCAGCAGGCCTCTCCTGTCTTGCCTGCTGCTCCCCTCAGCAGTGTATTTCTTCAGTCTGCCTGTTCTGTTCCCTGCTCTGTCTCTGGTGAATCCTCTCACCCTCCTGAGCCTCTGGCAGCTACTCCCTTCAGGTGATTCCAGCCTCCATTCAGATGTGCCCAGGGTGAAATCCCCTTGCATGTGCCGTGGTGTTGCTAACTGTCTCATCTTTCAACATTCAGCAGGAGTTGTTACCTCCTCCAAGCCCCTTAGGTCACAGGCTAAGTGCCTCTGTACTGTCTCCTCCACTCTGACCACTTACTACCTTTCTCCTCCGTTCCTTTCTCCCCTGCTCCCTGCTGCTCCCCCCAACCCCCCTTCTTCCCCCGCTCTCTCTTCATCACTGACTTTGTGGCTTAACCAGCTGGCACAGTGCCAGGTGCACAGTAGGCATTTTAAAATGTGTGTTGACTTGAACAGGTCACATTTAATAACGCATCTGACAAGTCTGGTAGCTCTTCACAGCAACCAGATCTTTCTTCTAGTTAAACCAGTGATTGGAGAAGTCCAGACAGAAATAGAGGTGGATTTTATTCATATAATTATTAATCACCGAAATTCAGCACACGGAGGTGCCTGGCTGCTGGCTGTCTGTGTTCTGGAAGTACCGCTAGAGAGATGCTTCCCCATAGAAATAGTGAGAGCAGTTACCAAGCCAGGAGGTCTCCCCCCACCCCCACCCCAGGCTGGTAAAACTCACCAGCCCTCACTCACCACAGCCTCACCGTGCGGGGCCTTCAGGATGCTGGTAACAAGGACACTGTGCTCCTGGATTCTCCATCTTGTTTGGCTGATGGATGGGTCAACAGACACAAAGGCTCCTCCTCCAGGATTTGAAGCTCACTGTTCTGGCCAGGGGCGCTTGCTGGGTAGTGATCTGTCCTCCACCAAGATCTGAGCATCAGAGAAAATGAACTCTCAGCTAGTGAGTGAACCTGTCCAATAACCCGCATCTCAGCCTGTGTTGGCTCTAATCTTTCGTGTCCATCTCTCAGAATTTTAATATATTAATATATTCCTGAGGGGAGAAAATAATAATTTTTTCTATACTGCATTTTATGAGAAAAATATGTTCTATCCTAATTTTGGGGAATTTAGACATGTGCCAGGCGTCCGGGAGGCACTCTGCAGCAAAGGCCCTGTGCTGTGTGCATACTGTGTGTCTGCAGGCCGCTCCTGTGAAAAGAGGAGACAGAGGCAGATGTTTTGTGAGGAAAATAGCAAATAAAGCAAAGATCCTGTTTTCAACAAGAAAAACATGACCTGCTTTATCCAAAAAGCTCAGGCTTCTAATGAGACTTATTGGCTCCTAAAGAGACGTGTTTTCCCCAGAGCGCGATTTAGGGCTAGCCACCTAGTCCTGACACCTAGGGCATACCTCCCTCAAGAAACACATTCTTGACTCTAGAGAGCAGGAAATGTCCCTGTCCCTGGATGTGAGTGTCCCCACGATGTGAGTGCATCGTGTTTCCATAAGGCATAGCAAAGGGCGCTGCTTTGCAATCTTGAGAAACTGCCTACTATGTGATTGGGGCAAAATGAAAACACTTGGCTTTGAAAGGCCCAACTAGACAGTTTGTGAATTTGAGTTATGTAAATTTGGAAACTGCTACATAAATTTGGAAGTTAGATTTCTTTCCCTAAGCAAAAGTCACTTTATGTATGGCAGGCATCTCTCAGTTCTGAGAACTGGCACATTTGCAAAAATCTGCATACTTTGTTCAAGAGTAAGAAAGGGCTGCATTAACTTTGGTAAATTCTACGCTATCTATTTAAATTAGTCACAGCTGTGTTCCTCTAGAACCTCCTCTTGACCTGAACAGTAGAATTCAGTCTAACACGCTCGTCTGACTCAACAAAGTCTCTCTATATAGTCATTGCATTCAGTACAATCTAAATGTTAGAGTGATCAAATAAAATGTAGTCTGGATAATTAGATTCTATAAATAGTTCAAATGGAAAATTGGTTTTCTTTTTGAAAATTAAGACTTCATAAAACAAAATTTTATCCCTAAGACTTAGTGGAGTCAGTGCCGTGTCTGTTACTGAAGCTTAAACTGTCTGGGTTAGCAAACCCCTTATATACCCCTCATTTTAGACTTCATACTTAGGATCTTGCAAGATTTCCAGATTTCAGATCTTCTCATTTTCTCCCTGACTCCAACAAGGGCCAAATAAGCCCTCCTCTTAGCCCAGCTGAAGCAGACTGGGATTTCCCAATTTCAAATGCTAAATTACTAAACCTAAGAAGATCCAAAAGAGAAACAAATCGCTTAGGAAATACTTGAAAGGGCATGACAGTGACTAGGCTCTTGCTGCAATCCGTGGGCCCTCTGCTGCTGGACATCCTTTTATGGATCAGTTAATTCTAACACTTGGACACCTAACCCCACCTGTCCTCAGGTACTATCAGAACCAAAACATTGCTTCTAGATTCTTAGGCTGCCTCTCACGTCTTACTTTCATTCTACTCCAACGTCGTATCCCACAAGACCATAATAAATCCCAGTTCCACAAATCCTCAGAAACGTGTATGCAAGTCAGACTAAGGGGGATCATGGCCCATTTCTTGATGAACAAGGAAACTTTTTTTGTCGTTGTTGGTAATGTTTATGTAGAACTCAATATGTCTGAACCAATTTAAACTTTCCTATTTCTCAAAAAATTTAAGAAGCATTTACTTCCTCCACCCCCAAGGAAATATAAAGGAGATACATGTCAACAGGGGTTTTTGAAGAGTGATTTATTCCTGGAAGTTGAACAGTCTTGGTTGCAGAGAGTAAAACACTTATGGTCAAACCCTTTTAGTCGAACTGTGATGGGATAACTTTGTGACTGTATTAGTGTTCACTTAGTTCCCCCTTCTCCAGGCCCTTAATTGGAACCCTAACCTGTTTAAAAAGGTTGCCTTTCTTTCCCTTCAAAAAGGGAAAGCTTTCTTCCTGCTAGACCAGAAGCGAAAACCTTTGTCAAGTGCGGAAGCAGATTATACCATCCTCCTATTGTTCTTCTCGATTGGCAAGTAATCGGACTAGCCTCAGCTAGATTGATAAGAGAAAAAGCCAAAAAGTCTCACATTAACACGCGTTCCTCCTGTGCACCTGAACCGTCCCCAAAAGCCAGAACCCGCCTGCAGTATCCTGCATCTTTTCTGCCCGGTGCTGGGCTAGTAACACTTTGAACTGATCCTTGGTTTTCAGCCAGACCAGTGACCTCAGCGAACTCCTGACCGCCTTTGCTACAGTGCCGGGACTACCTGGTGTGGTTCTACACTCAACTATGGCAGCGAGGGGCGTTTGGGGAACGGTGGGCACGGAGGGCCTCGCCAAGTCCGCAATGCTCCCAGCTGACCCGAGGAGGTGGTCGTAGAAGGGGGGGGGAGGCAGAGAGAGGCCCAGAAGGGGCCACAGGCCTCTCTCCTCCAGGCGTGACCGAGCTGCCACGCGTTTTCTGTGGGTATATTTAAGGTTTGGTTTGCAATGTAGACAAGGCGAGAAGGTAGAGTCTCCTGTGACATGACCGAAAGACGGCTGTCGCGGAGCGCAAGGGCGATGCCTCTTCCACAGCGTGTGGGGCTAGAGATTTCCAGAGGAGAAAACTCCCAAATCGCACTGTCGTGTTGTGAAGGACATGTAAGGCGCTGCTCACGTCCTTGAGACAGGACAGGAGCTGGAGTGTTCACGCTGACAGCTGCCCGGCACAGGTGAGGGACGCTGGGCAAGCTGGGGACACGGGCGACTCCCCACAGTCGGCGGTTTCCAGACGACGGAGCGAGATGACCCGAGGGCCGGTGATGAAGCCACACGTTATATTTTTTCAAATTGCGTCTTGTTTCATGGGCTTTACTTTTTGTCTGGCATTAGCAGAGAGAAGATGTGGGGTGCACCTCGTCTCACCGTGCTTCCCTTATCGCCCCCCCAGATACTGCACTTCTGCAAGTCGAAGGGCTGTGGCCACCTGCTCGCTGCACCTCCGGGGCCCTTGTCCCGTGGCTCAGCTGGTGGGAAGTTATTTCTTTTTTGACGGATGGTGTTTTTTAGCAATGCAGTGCTTTAACTCAGGTACATCATAGCTTTGTAGACAAGGTGCTGCGGCACATCCAGCAGGCTCCAGTCTAGTGGAGACATAACTGCTACGAACTGGGGATCCAGAAATCCAAGTCATTTGCTCTCTTGAGCTATTTGCTTTATTGTGGTGTCTGCAAGCAAACCTGCCTCACCTGCGCGGTGCACCTGCCCAAGGTGGAATTCGAGTCAGGCCTGTCACTCCCAGGTTGGGGATGACCTTACGTAGGAGTGTGCCTGGGCCAGTGAGGGGCTGGTACTCAGCGTCGAGGGTTTTACAGTTTTCTGATTCTTAGCAGATCTTTACAAGTGGGGTACTTTTATCTTTATTTTGAAGACATTAAAACAGAGAGAAGCTAAGGGAGGGAGCCGAGGGAGAGGTGAAAAGTGTATGGTTCTGGAGAGACCCTGCAGGGTTCCTGCCCGGCCTGGCCTGGCCTGTCCTCAGCTGGTGGTCTTAGGCAAATATTTCAACCTCTCCTGACACCTCAGCAGGGTTTGAGCAGTGCTTAGCACATGGGGAGCTTAGTAAACTTGCTGTCCTCGGGATGCAGTGAGATGGTGTGTCCCTGTTTGTGAAGTGTGAGTACTGCATGGTCTTGAGTGACCTAGAGAGGGACTGGCCTGGTCTCTGCACTGTCTCAGGAATCAGGGGGTTCGGGGCTGTGCATAGGCCCCTGGTCTGTCTCTATTCCTCTGGGCTGTGTGTTCCTCTTTCAGTTCCCCTTTTGGTGTTGGGTTGGGTGGGGTGCCTTGTCCCTGTGAGGTCCCTGAAGAACAGACAATGATGCAAGTTGAGGCCACCACCAGCATCCCCATGGGGGGCGGTGACAGCAATACCCCCAGCAGAACCAAACCTCATTAATGCCTGGGGGGCTCTATGTGTGCTCTAGAATGCTAAAACCCAATGGTTGAGCTCATCAAATAAACACTCCTTTATTCTGTAATGCTTAGAAGATTTTTAACTCAAATTTGTGAACAAAAAGACTGGTTTAAAGGATAAAACTTTCACTTGTAATGAAGAATTCATGAAGCATTTTTATTGATCCCAATAAAGTGATGAATTGGATTTGTGCTTATGCTCATTTTCAATAGTAGTTCTTGGATTTAAAATATTATATTTAATTATCAAACCACTGAGGACTAAGACTGGAAGAAAAGACAGCTGGTGTAAAGGCAGTTATTTAATTTTTTTATGGACCATAAAATCATTCTTGCTTCTCCTTCTAAGGCTCTTTAATTTTGAAGGTTTTATAATGGCTGTGGATAAAGACTCTTCTGGACCAGCCCAGATCCCTTGCCACGTTGACAATCGAGACTGAGGTCCTGAGCTGGCCAGCCCCACTGACAAGCTGCTGGAGACCTGTCCTGGGGTGTCTTTTCCACTGCTTTGACATTGCTGCTCTCTCTGTCCTTGGGCTACCCCTCCCCCAGGTCTGGCCTCCAGCCTGGCAGGGTATGGCTTTGGCCTATACACATGTGGAGACCACATGGTAATGTGTTTGGAAAGTATGAAGGGGTCTTTTTAAGGCCAACTAGAAAGAGGAGGCATCTCCCCAAGTTTGGAGGGCAGACTGGCATCCTCCATGTTCTGATGTGAAAGTAGTTGAGCAAAAAATTGAAATGAGCTGACAAGAATAATTGAATAGCGATTGTGTTACCAAGCAGAAGAGGTTCGTAGTCTGATTGCATCAGCCACTTGACAGGCCAAGCCTAAGATTCCTGGCAAAGATAATTAATTACTTGAATCAAGTAGGAAACAGAGGGTGGCTTCTGAGGTGTCATCTTGCTTCCTAGAGTGAGTTAGGCTTTCTGTGGGCTTCTTGGTGTTTTGAGTGGGGGGCAGGGAGGAATAACCTAGTTTTGGTTGCCCAGGCAGGTAGTAATTCCACGACAACATCATGCCTTTTTGTGGGCTGCATGTCCAGAAAATGTCAGCCTCGTCATTCTGGAGGCGATTTTATTAAGTAGGTGGGTCTAAGGTGACAGGTCACTGGACGGTCTTCTTTGTGCCTGTTGATTGAACTGGTTTGCACTGGAACAAGCATCTAATCCCTCCTCTAAAAGCTCTAATTACATCTAAGGGTTATTTGTAATAATGCACTTTCGCTTTATAATCCTTCTGCCTTCTAAGTAACCATTGCAATGTTGAAGAATGACTATCACCCAATAAGTTAAAGCACAAACAATACTTAAAATGACCTAAGTTGTATTTTTTGAAATTAAAAAATCAGCTCAAATTCCTATAAAAAAAAATATGTGCACCAGGTATTTCCTAAGGGATTTAGGTACCTCTGTGCAGCAGAAACAGGTACAGAGAAGATAAATAGTTCAAGGTCCCATGGATATAAAATAACAAACCTGGGCCTCAAATTCACACTCTGGCCCCTGAGTCAGTGCTTTCTGCCATTGTCTTATGTGCCTCCCATTCCTTTTTTATATTGGATTTTTTAAAAGATTTATTTATTTATTTATACAAGCACTGGATACAGTCAGAAGCGCGGGAGGGTGAGAGAATTCACCAGAGCCAGAGCGGGGAACAGAACAGGCAGAAGGACCAAAGTACACTGCTGAGGGGAGCAGCGGGCGGCAGGAGAGGTCTGTACGCCATGTAGGACCCTCACTGGTGGCCGGGGAGCAGCTGGGGATCGAACTGGCGCTGCAGAGGCTGCGGGCACCTCCGCAACCCAACGCTCAACTGCTGCACCACCGGGGAGGCCCTATATTGGATTTTTAATGGCTGTTAAGTCCATTGACTTTAAAAAAAATATATATATATTTATTTATTTATTACATATTTATTTATTTGTGGGACCCTCGCCGGCAACCGGGGAACGAATCGGTGCTGCAGAGGCTGCGGGCAGCCTCGCAGCCCAGCGCTCAACCGCTGCGCCACCAGGGGAGGCCCCCATTGACTTTTCAAATGAGGATGCGGGTGTTGAATTTGGGTGCTGTTCATAGGGTTGAAAAGCTGTTCTGTGCGGAGCAGCTCGTCTGAGAACGTTTGAACCCCCCACCTCTTGGAGAGGAGTCGCCTCCCCTGTGCCGCTCTGGTCTGTGACAGTGGCCCTACCCGAGTCCAGCCTCCAGCTGTCCTGTGGTGGTGCCTTTAGCCAGAATGCCCCACCTAGTGCTTCACTGCATCTCTCCTCTAGGCGCATTCTCCTTTTGATGTGCTCATGTTTTTCTTCTAGAAGGTTATTGATTCTAGTCCAACTCTTCCAAATTTCCTTGCCTGGGGAAAAATGGATCTGATCCGATGTAACTCCCATGTTACGTGGACATCATTACCCGATTTTTCACGTATGGGTTAAATTTTATTTTAACAACATACGCTGTGGCTGAACAGATTATTCTAGTTTGCTCTTGCAAGCATTTCTGCCAGTGATGCTCCAGCCAGCAGCCTCACTGGGGAGCCGGCTGAGGCCGCGCTCGGACACGTCACCGCGGGGACAGGCCCAGGTGGACTCGGGGTCTCCAGCAGCTCTGCAGCCATAGGGCGGTTTATTCTGCAGCTTCTTTCAGGATGATGAGATGGTTCCTTTGTGCCGTGAGATTGATTTAGAGGTTATAAGATTCCTTCTAAATGGCCTCACTTTTTTTTCTTTCAGGTTCATGTTCCAAACCAAAGATGAGTCTCTTTAACAGAAAACATAGAATAAAGCAGGAGCTGGACTCTCTGGGTTGTCTGGGGTGTGGACACGCGCTGTCACAGCCGTCTTGGTTTTCAGTGAAATACCTTCTTCGCCCAGACTTTGTTTTGGCCGAGGCTCCTGCTCACGCCCTTCTCACGGTTATCGAAGCCTCAGGCCAACCGCGGTCGTTTGCTGCACTCACTCCTGACTTCTGGGGCCTCTGCCTGGATGGGGCCGCCGTTTTCTGTGCTGCCATTTTGTGTGCACTTCTGTGCGGCTGAGTTCTGTCAGAGGGGTGGAGGCAGAAGGGGCCGGTGTCTCCGGGAGGCTCTTCTGCGAGCTCTGGGGGCCCCCAGGCCTGGGGGTCACTGTTCGGACACACACAGGGCATGGAACTCGTGTCTGTCTGAACGAAGCTCACCACCCTTGGAGAAGGAAAATGGAAAGAGCTTGCAGGGCCCTCAGGCCCGAAAGCCTGCAAGGAGCCTGCCATGCATAGCTTAGTCAGAACTGAACCCACGTCTACCAAACGGCCGGCCTGTTGCCCCGGGGCTTTTTGTTAGTTCCTCTATTCCCTCTGCTCCCTCTCCCCTCTTGATTGATCCCTTCCACGTGTCTGCCTTGCAGAACCACTGAATAAAATGATCAGTCCTTTGCAAGGGAGATAAAGTTGAGGCCTCTACAAGGCTTCTGTAGCTGGGTCATGACTCGTACTCGCCTTGGCCAGCGCTGGGCCAGCTCCTTGAGGTTATTTCTCTACTAAGACTCAAAAGACTGCAGACTCCTCCCTCCCCTGGCTGCAAGGTATGCAGTACACACACACACACACACACACACACACACACACACACACACACACACACACACACACACACACACACACACACACACACACACCCTCCCTCCCTGATTCCTAACAGCTCCAGGCCACACCCACAGAACGACTCCAGCCCCCTTTTAAGTGCCTGCTTGGGAAAGCTCAGGGCTGCAGGAGAATGTACTGTTTGTTCCAGTCAATTCCTGCAACAGCCAGACCTCTGAACCCCCTCCTAGAACAGTTTACTTACCAAGGTTGCAATTACAAACCCTTTCTCTGCCTTTTTGGAACCTCCCACTACCCAGAGCCGTGTTTCTGAGGACCCAAGAGCCCTGTTTGAAATGCAGAGACCCCAGGAAAGACTCACTCTTTCTCCCAGCCTGGTGGGCAGAGGGTCCAATTTGCATCGCTGCATCCTGGTTTTCCTCTGGATAAGCACCAATTAGCGCACCCTGAAGGCCAGATCACAGGGACGAACCCCTTTCACCTTCTCAGCACCTCCTTGGTCCTCCACCCTGCCTTGTGTCCAGCCGAGTGGCGTTCTGTCCACACTGGGCTCTTCCCTAGACCTCCCCTTACCGCTTAACTCGAGTCTGGTTTTGTTTCTCCTCGATGGCTGGAGTGCTGCTTGCATTCGGCTTTCCCTGACCTCCACATGCCCTTGATGTGTGCTCATTCCTCCCGCATATTTATCTTTCTTTTTTTTTTTCTTCATTTTTATCTTTATTTACCGTGCAATGTTGGAACTGCGATGGGCAGACTTTCTGGACAGAAGACAAATGTGAGTCACACGGAACTCTGGTCAGTGCGTGGTGGCACCGTGGCTGGTTTTACTCATTAGCGTATTATCTGATTTTCTCTGAATGATTGACTTATGCCGGGTAAGACATAATAAAAATTCGTTTTCTCTGGGTTATTTTCTTTCTCTTTTCCTTTACCCTTTTGTGTTCTTTCTTTTTATCTTCTTTGCATCAGGGTGTACTCAGAATGTCACATTAGGGGTTTTAAACTGTTTTTGATGTATCAGAGGAAGCGCTTGTTCTCAACATAGCTCTATGCAATTCGAGCAAACCTCTCTACACCAGTTCAGAACTGAAGGGCGCCTGAGAGTCCTCGCAATGGCCCAGTGGACCCAGCACTCTGTGCGCTGTGACCTTTCTGACTTTGCCTTCTGAACAACTGGAATGTTTACTGGAAAAATGAATGCACTGACTGCACTTATTATAGGTTTACTTATTCACCTGCTTGTTATCTACTAGTCTCCACCTGAAGCTCAGCACCCTGGTGCAGAGACAGGCGCATAGTAGGTACCCGAGAAATGTGGGTAGAATGAGTGGACATGCAGGTGGCCCACACTCCAGGCCCATGAGCTTTGTCCAGTGCACATCATGCCACATGCACGTGGGAGTCAGGGTCTTGGGCCCCTGAGACCCGTGGCTGCTGATTCTGACATCTCTGCAGCGATTCAACACTATATCCATCTGCTTTTCTCTCCTAAAGGTTTCATGGCTTTATGAATTTTTGTTCCATGTGAATCGTTCCAAACCTGGTGGTCCAGCTTCCAGAGGTGCAGCTGACACGGGCCGTTCACTTCTGTGCATCTGCATCAGCTCAGCTTAAGCTGGGGTGCAGGTGGGGTGGGGGGCCCAGCATTGCAGTGGCTCTTTGGCTTGCTCTGTGCTGCTCTGGAGGCTCCCCTCATTTGCATCAGCCTTCAGAACATGGAAGTGAAAATGTGTCCTCTGCTACCAGCTTCCTGCGGGGCAGCAGGGAGGTGGGCTGATTGGCAGAGACTGGGGGGGTTCCCTGGGCTCCTGGTGGGTGTGCTCAGTAGGGGGATATCCCCGTTTGCAGGTGTTCATGCAGTCCATGAGGTTGGGGGCCTACTGTGTGTTTAATTGCAAAGGCAGAGCTCAGAGCTGTGAGCAGGGTGTGAATGCCATGGCCAGACCGTGTGATGCTGCCAAAGGGACGATCAGAGGCAGAGAACAGTGCGTGGCTGCTCACGCGAACCTGGTGGCAGGTAAATTACTGGGCATAAAAAAATCATAATAAAAAATAATTTGCAATTATTTATAATAAATAAAAGAAAAACAGTAACCCATGACAGAACTGAAACAACCCCCCCCCCAGCCTAAAGGTCATCTTCCTGAAAATGTCAGTGAGGTTGTCCTGGAATTTAGCGTAGAAAGTACGAAAAAATTCCATGGCTGTAACTAACTGTCTTACTGGGAAAAATGAGAGCAGAGGAACCAAACTTGCAGGAACTTGTGAGAATTAGTTTCCCAGCTCACACAGCGCAGCGCACGCTCAGCCCCCGGGTGGCATCAGCCTCCGAGGAGGATGCCGGCCAGTTATTCGCCGGGGACCTTGCTGCAGGAGCCTCCCCCGTTTCCCTGAGATGTGCTAAGGTCACGTGGCCTCATTGCAGAGGAAATTTCCTTGATTTTAAGTCCTCTTTCCTTTTTTCCCTGGGTTGGGTCCCCTGCGCTAGGGTCAGTCTGTTCTGATGTTCTGAGTCGGCGTCGTTCTGTGTGTGAAGGGACGGCTGCACGACCGAGGCGCTCCTCACACCCGGCTGTCTCTGCGCAGGGACGCGAAAACTTCACCCTGTGACCTGGCTCTGGAGTTCCTCTGGCAGGTTTCACTTCCCCCTTCTGGCCCGCCACAGCTCATAACGGCTGACACGGGGGGCACATCGCTTTCGCTTTTAGTGATGAGTGGGAACTACAAATTATGCAGCCGAGTTCCCCCCATTTTGGGGAAACAGTGGGGTCAGCATGGATGACACTCACCTGGGAAACCACCTCCCTGGCCACCGGCCCCCCTCGAGGTCAGTATTCGGGGCACATGGCTTTGCTCCGAGTGCTGGGCTCCTTGTTTTAGGTCCCAACATGCAGCCAGCCCCCAGGAAGCCCTGAGACCCAGGGGGGGACTCCCCTCCTGCAGGCTGCTGCCCCCACCGGGTGTCCTGCTTGTTATCAGTCTCCTGTGCATCTTCCCTCTGTTGGAATCTACACTCAGGCAGGAAGGGGTCCTCTATTTTCTGTTCTCCTGTACCCCAAAGCCTAGAGCATAACCTGCCACACAGTCACTGCCCAGCCAGCGTGCCGACGCGGTGCACTGAGCCCTGCCAGGTCAGCTGCTTTTTCGGGCCCCACTTTGTGGTGTGGGAACGTTTTCATGAAGAGTAGAGATGCAGAGGAAAGCAGGGGTGCACCCAGCTGTGGAGCCAGATCATCGAGTGTGTCGTGGGGCTCAGGAATGAGGCACCGTTGGTCACTGGCCAGCGGGGGCTGCGCACCCTTGCCCGGGCACTCTCTTCCGTGGAGTCCGGCCCAGGGCGTCTGCTTTCACGCGGGCCCAGCAAGCCCCTGCCCACGAGGGCCCACGGGGGCAGGCGGCGGGGCAGCGAGGCAGCAGGCCTGGGGCCGCCTCTGCATTTGAAGGCGGTTGTGTCTCATTGGAATGAGCAGCTCTCACCCTTTCCCCCCACCCCCAAAGAACGGGGAGCTGCTGGGGAGCAACAACTGCGCCCGGCCCGCAGTTCAGAAAGTTTCTCCTGGTCTCACAGATGGTAGGAAATGGTTCTGGGAAGTGAAGCCACGCTGGCTGCCCCGCCCTTTCGGTTTGATTTGCTTCTCCCTCGTGTCTTCTGTGCTCTTAATAGGGTGCTTGATGGGAAGCCTCATCCCGCAGCTGAGCCCCTCATGAGTTGCTGGTTGGGGAGCCGGTTACTGAGTCTGATTTCGTTGGTGAGCTGAACCACCCGCCCATCCAGACGGTGAGAAGCACCCGACTCTGCCTGGCTCCTGGGGTGGCTTCAGAGGGGAGCAAGGCTCCCCTGCTCCTGCTTCCCGTCTTCTCTGTCCCCTCAAAATCTCACTTCTGCTTCCTCCCTGCTGGCCCAGGCTGCCAGTCATTAATTTCAGTTCACTTTGAAGTGGTGTCAAACCACGAGCAACCAGGCGAAGATGGAAAAGGGCTTGAGGCCCAGGCTGGCTCCTGGCCTGAGTAACCGCACCTGAGCAGGAACAGGTGCCGCTCCTTTCCCTACTCAAGGATGCCCCGCTCCATGCTCCATCCGCCTTGTCCTTCTCCAAGTCCCTCCCCCGCCCTCCACGAGTTCTCCTGGAGTTCTCTCTCCTCCCCTTTCCTTCATGCCTCTCCTTTCATTTAGAATGGTCCAGAAAAGGGCCTCCCTGGTGGCACAAGGGGTTAAGCTCTGCACTATGAAGCAAGCCACAGCCTCTGCAGCACAAGTTCGATCCCCGGCCAGCCAGGGAGAAACCCACATGGCACAGCAGACCTCCCCTGTCTCGCCCGCTGCTCCCCTCAGCAGTGTGCTTCAGTCGGTCTGCCTGTTCTGCTCCCCACTCTGTCTCTGGTGAATCCTCTCACCTCCCCCCTGGTCTGTACCCCAGGTCTTGCATTAAATAAATAAATAAATCTTTAAAAAAAAAATAGAATGGTCCAGAATGAAGCGGACATGTACCAACTAGTTGTACTTCTGAGCAGTTAAGAGTTCTGGGTGGGCACATGCCTCACGCCCCTGATGCGTTGGCCTTTCTTCATGGATTAAACCTGACTGTGACTCCTCCAGTAAGGTACTGCGGGCCTTTGGGATTTTAAGCCCCTAACTCCATTTGCTTTTATCCCTGGATAAACTACAAAGGAGTATTTTTTTTCTCCATCCTTATTTTTCTTCTTTTTCATTTGTATCTTGTTTTCATTAAACGTGACTTTTTCTTTCATTACCAAACACGTCATTTGTTTATTGAAAATGGGGAAATAAAGAAGCATAAGGAAAAAGTTAAAACCACCCATAATTTCACAAATTATAACATTGGTGAGATTGTGGCGTGTGATTGAATTAGGTCAAGGTGCTTTATAACTGGTGTCTTAGCCACATGCCCCTTCTCTTCCCCACCCATTTCCTGATATTCATTTCTGAGTCTCTTTTTTTTAAATTTATTTATTTATGCATACAAGAGCTGGGGTACAGGCCAGAGATGGGGCGTGAGAAGATCCACCAGAGACAGAGTGGGGAACAGAACAGGCAGACTGGCTGAAACACACTGCTAGGGGAGCAGCAGGTGAGACAGGAGAGGTCTGCCTCGCCATGTGGTGGGTTTCTCCCTGGCCAGCTGGGCATCAAACTCGTGCTGCAGAGGCTGAGGATTGCTTCATAGTGTGGTGCTTAACCCCATGCGCCACCAGGGAGGCCCCCGTATCTGAGTCTCTTAAAGCCTTTCTGTAACATACACATCAACAGTGCACAAACGAGGCAGCTTGTTCACAATGTTTGCTGCTGTCACTGTTTTTTCACTTTAGCCACGTGGCTGTATTTTTCATTCATGTGTGTGTAGCCAGAGGTGTGTTGGAGTATCCCGTTGTGATTTAATTTGCATTTCCTTGAATGACTTCACATATTTTTTTAAAGATTTATTTATTTACTTATTTATTCAAGAACCAGGGTACAGACCAGATGCGTGGGAGGGTGAGAGAATTCACCAGACAGAGTGGGGAACAGAACAGGCAGACTGACTGAAATCCACTGCTGAGGGGAGCAGCGGGCGAGACAGGAGAGGTTTGCTCGCCATGTGGGTTGCTCCGAGGCCAGCAGGGATCGAACCGG